ATCATTAGTTTTTGATGCAGTGATCCACGATCCATTGTTTTCGTATAACACCCAGTGCTCCATGCAGTACGTGCCCTCCTTAATACCCATCACCAGGCTAACCAATCCCCCCTCCCCCCTCCCCTCTAAAACCCTGGTTGTTTCTCAGGTCCATAGTCTCTCATGGTTCATCTCTCCCTCCAATTCCCCCCCCCCCATTTTTCCCTTCCTTCTCCTAATGTCCTCCATGTTATTCCTTATGTTCCACAAATAAGTGAAACCATATGATAATTGACTTTCTCTGCTTGACTTATTTCACTTAGCATCATCTCCTCCAGTCCCATCCATGTTGATGTAAAAGTTGGGTATTCATCTTTTCTGATGGCTGAGTAATATTCCATTGTATATATGGACCACGTCTTCTTTATCCATTCATCTGTTGAAGGGCATCTCGGCTCTTTCCACAGTTTGGCTCTTGCGGACATTGCTGCTATGAACATTGGGGTGCATAGGGCCCTTCTTTTCACTACATCTGTGTCTTTGGGGTAAATACCCAGGAGTGCAATTGCTGGGTCATAGGGTAGCTCTATTTTTAAATTTTTGAGGCACCTCCACACTGTTTTCCAAAGTGGCTGTACCACCTTGCATTCCCACCAACAGTGTAAGAGGGTTCCCCTCTCTCCACAACCTCTCCAACATTTGTTGTTTCTTTCCCTGTCCATTTTGGCCATTCTAACTGGTGTAAGGTGGTATCTCAGTGTGGTTTTGATTTGGATTTCCCTGATGACTAATGATGATGAACATTTTTTCATGTGTCTGTTAGCCATTTGTATGTCTTCTTCAGAGAAGTGTCTGTTCATCTCTTCTGCCCACTTTTTGACTTGATTATTTGTTTTTTGGGTGTTGAGTTTGAGAAGTTCTTTATAGATCTTGGATACCAGCCCTTTATCTGTAGTGTCATTTGCAAATACCTTCTCCCATTCTGTGGGTTGCCTCTTTGTTTTGTTGACTGTTTCCTTTGCTGTGCAGAAGCTTTTTATCTTGATGAAGTCCCAAAAGTTCATTTTTGCTTTTGTTTCACTAGCTTTTGGAGATGTATCTTGAAAGAAGTTGCTGTGGGCGATGTCAAAGAGGTTACTGCCTATGTTCTCCTCTAGGATTTGGATGGATTCCTGTCTCACATTGAGGTCTTTCATCCACTTTGAGTTTATCTTTGTGAATGGTGTTAGAGAATGGTCGAGTTTCATTCTTCTGCATGTGGCTGTCCAATTTTCCCAGCACCATTTATTGAAGAGACTTTTTTCCATTGCATGTTTTTTTCTGCTTTGTCAAAGATTATTTGACCATAGAGTTGAGGGTCCATATCTGGGTTCTCTATTCTGTTCCATTGGTCTGTATGTCTGTTTTTGTGCCAGTACCATGCTGTCTTGGTGATCACTGCTTTGTAATATAGCTTGAAATCGGGCAACGTGATGCCCCCAGCTTTGTTTTTCTTTTTCAACATCTCCTTGGCGATTCGGGGTCTTTTCTGATTCCATACAAATTTTAGGATTGTTTGTTCCAGCACTTTGAAAAATGTCATTGGAATTTTGATCGGGATGGCATTGAAGGTATAGATTGCTCTGGGTAGCATAGACATTTTAACAATGTTTATTCTTCCGATCCATGAGCATGGAATATTTTTCCATCTTTTTGTGTCTTCTTCAATTTCTTTCATGAGTCTTCTGCATTTTATTTTATTTTATTTTATTTTATTTTTAAAGATTTTATTTATTTATTTGAGAGAGAGAATGAGAGAGAGAGCACATGAGAGGGGGGAGGGTCAGAGGGAGAAGCAGGCTCCCCGCCGAGCAGGGAGCCCGATGTGGGACTCGATCCAGGGACTCCAGGATCACGACCTGAGCCGAAGGCAGTCGCTTAACCAACTGAGCCACCCAGGCGCCCCGAGTCTTCTGCATTTTAAAGTATGTGTAAACATAGAGGATATTAGAAATCTTTGCATACCATTTTCAAGATGGTAATGTAAGGGCCAGAAAAAAATAAACTTCAAGAATCAGCACTTGAAAAGGAACCTAAATGATATTCTTCTATGAAAATAGGTTTAAAAATCTAAGGAAAAGCACAGCAAATAAGTCCAGGAGTACGTTAAAAATCATCAAACTGAGCTTATCTATGGGTTGGATCAACGTAAAGGAATTTATTAGTAAAATGTACCAAATGGTAAGATCTCTAGGATCATATTAAGAGAAGTTGAAAGAGCAGTTGATAAAATTCAACATGAATTCTGGATAAAAAGAATTTTTAGTAAAAGGAGACTTTTTATCTCACAACGCATCAAATTTATTTATTTATTTAAAGATTTTATTTACTTATTTGACAGAGACAGAGACAGCGACAGCGAGAGCAGGAACACAAGCAGGGGGAGTGGGAGAGGGAGAAGCAGGCTTCCCGCTGAGCAGGGAGCCCGATGCGGGGCTCGATCCCAGGACCCTGGGATCATGACCTGAGCCGAAGGCAGAGGCTCAACGACTGAGCCACCCAGGCACCCCACGACACATCAGATTTAAAGTGACCCACCAGATCCTGTGGAAGAGCAGCACTCCCATTAGATAGAATAAGGAAGAAAACAAGGGTCCATGTTATTCCACCATTACGATTCTGATAGTGCTGCTATAATGAGACGAAACAACAGGATCACACAAGAACACACAAGAAGATCCAAAGCTAAGGCAGGTATGTTTCAACTCTCAAAATATATTGGCATTGGTCATTCATGCTGGTGGTATTATGGATATTTTGTATTTTTCTCTTTTGGCTTCTCTGTATTTTCTATACAGAACTTCATTTGCTCTCTTTTCATGTCTTTTTTTTTCCTCTGTGATTTTTCAAATGAGACAACAAACATTGATAAAGTATAGAATAGTGAAAGTGAAATATAGCATAGGGATTGTAGTCAATAAAAGTGTAATAACTGTGCAGTGACAGATGGCAACTACACTTATTATGGTGAGCATTTTGTAATGTATATAAATGTTGAATCACTCTTTGGTACACCTGAAATTCATATAATATTGTATGTAAATTCTATTCTAGTAAGGATAATTTTTTAAAAATCATATTTATATTAAGCACTACTAGAGTGCCTGCCACATGAAATTGTTTAATAAATGGTGAATTTTATTTTGAAAAAAGAGACATCATAATTCAAAAGGGAAGAGACTTTCTTTGCTTTTCAAAGAATGGCTTAACTATAATTCAGCATTTTACTGTCTTCAATCCTAGTCACATACCTGAGTAAGTAAGAGCAAAAGAGAAACGTTTGATACTTTTAGGAAGTTTAAGGCTAAAGCTGAATCAGATTTGTCTCTAACATGGCTTTGTTCCCTGATGTAAAAAATTAGCTTTGTGGTATCTCCATCTACTGGCTTTTCCTTCCCATGATGACTTTATCTAGTCTAACATTTCTCAAGATAACTTCATCTAGTCTGACTTTGTTTTCGGGGCTAAGTTATGTGAGCTCTCCCTTCTAGGAAATTTCCATTTCACCTAATAGTGAAATTGCTAGAATGACGGGTCTAACTTTTGGCCGCCTCTCCCTCTAATCCAACTTTTCCTGACTGTGCCCTTGCAACCAAGGCGAGGGAGAGGAGAGAAGCTTCCTCAGGTGGAGTCACCAAACAGAAATGTGTCATCTATGATAAAATATCACCTACCCAGGAGAGGGAAATGATAGGACTCTCAGAGTGGTGCAGAAGTGTACTTGTTGATCTTTTTCTCATGGTTGCTTTGAAAATCCAAATTTTCTATTTAACATCAGGGTCACCCAATCTACGTGGTTTTCGAGCAACGAGGTGGAATCTGGGGACTGAAATCACGAAGAGGCAATGTGGTAGAGAGGAAAGCCCTGACATCAACCTGCCTGGGGGGCTTCTAATGACATCCACAGAATGCCCACTAGGGGAGATGCTCTTCCACTCCTTCTGGTCATCCTCAGAGCATCTCTGAGGCTTTGTTGCAATTTCAGTTTTGACCAGCGATGACCAGTGAAGACCCAGTGCAGGTCAGTGTGGTGCAGAAGGGTTCAAGTGACACCCATTCCACTCCTCCCATTGGCACGGATGCCTTAACCACCAGACCCTCAGTTCCCTGGTGTTAAGATGGTTATAACAACGGCAACTGTGAGGTGCTGTTTTGAGGACGAGAGAGATAATCCAGCAAACCTAGTTCATGGCAGGAAGCTCTTAATGACTGTTCTCTAGCTGCACTGACCAACGGAGTTGCTAGTCCCATGTTTGTACATAAATTAAATTAATAGAAAATTTAGTTTCTCAGCAGCACCAGCCCCATTTCAGGTGGTCAATAGCCACCTACGTCTGGTGGCTACCGTGTTGGATAGCGCAGATAGAGAACATTTCCATCATCACAGAATGTTCCATTGGACAGCGCTGCTCTGTATCATTAACTCTGACTTGACACGACCACCAGAACTTAGGGCTGACCAAAATGATTCCCTTTGAGGTGGAAACTCTCCCCGGATGTTTACGGATGTTTATCTGTGGAGGTGAGAGTCAGGTGAGGCCATTCTTGGAAGGTCGTCTTTTGTTCACCAGGGAAAGAAAGGGGTGATGTTTGTTTTCCCAATTAAGATAGCTTATCTAGGAGTTGGCTATTTTAGCCCTGAAAAGATGGAAAGTTGAGGCTGAGGACACCGTCCAGAGAGGGCTCAGTTCTTTCCAAGGTGCACTTAGCTGGGTCACAACAGAAGGGGCGGGGGAGGATTCTGACTTGGAGTCAGCAGAGGAAACAGTCTCTGGAGGTACAGTTCAGAAAGGACAACTAATCTGTTTTCCCAACAGATTTTCGTAAATAACTGACAGGAGATGGGCTGCTTCTCTTTAAGTATTAACCCAAATAATGGGGTTTAATCATTAAACCTTCTAGGTGGGGGCTGGCTTGTTTCTCTGATATTCTAATCCGGGTCACAGAATGGCTAAGGCAGCTTTAAGTGGAGGGTTGATTTTTTTCCCCTCCGTTTGCCTTGTGTTTTGCACTCTGAAAGAATGTTGTGCCTGCTCTTTTTTCTGGTGACTGCTATTCATGCTGAACTGTGTCAACCAGGTATGTAGCCTTGAAACTTAAAAATAGGGTAACAGTTTTCTAAATGATTGACAAGTCTTTGACTGACTTCTCTATTTTTCTAAATCTGCAGACATGTTGTGGCTTGAAAGTTGAGACTGTGACTGTTTTAGGAGTTTGAAAGAAAAATTTAAACCATCTAAGGTGCTTGTAGTTAAACTTTCAGTTTTGGGGGCAGTTTAACTGAAGATCTGTGTTCTGTTGATTTGAGTTGATTAAATGTTTGGACTTCATGTTTTGGCAGATTTTTATCATCATATACTGCTCTTTTTTCTTTCTGGCAGATGCAGAAAATGCTTTTAAAGTAAGACTTAGTATCAGAACAGCTCTGGGAGATAAAGCAGTAAGTGGAGAATCTGCATGTTCATTTTTAATTTTGTTTGCTAATACTACTTTCTCTAGTAATGAGCCTCTGCCTCGTTATCTTAAACTCATATAGTTTAAGTCTAAAGACCTCAAATCTGATATTGTCTTAAAGTTAAAAAATAGTAAAATGGAAATTCTTAAAAAATGATTTTGCCTCAAGTCTTTAATCTGCAGTGTGTGCTAGAAAATCTGTGAATGTTTGTATTACACAAAACAATGTAGCAAACTCGAACATTTCAGTCAAGCACAATGGAGCCGCGGGGCCTGAGTCGGGTACTCATGTCTGGCTTGGGCTCTGCACCTCACTGTTGGTGGTCATTCGGATTTTGTCAGCCTTGGTTTTCTTGTCAGCTAAAAGATGGTATGGGTCCACCCACATCAGATTTTTCATAGCACGAGAAGTTTCTAGTTCTAATGTGAAGTTTCTTCAGTTCTTCTCAAATATCAAAGTAACAATGTGAAATATGTGCTTATGAAATTGAAGTTAAAAAATACTCATAAGGCTCGGGGCGCCTGGGTGGCTCAGTCGGTTAAGCGGCTGCCTTCGGCTCAGGTCATGATCCCGGGGTCCTGGGATGGAGCCCCACGTCCAGCTCCCTGCTCAGCAGAGAGCCTGCTTCTCCCTCTCCCTCTGCCTGCCTCTCTGCCTACTTGTGCTCTCTCTCTCTCTGTCAAATAAATAAATAAAATCTTTAAAAAAAAATACTCATAAGGCTCATGTAGTTATAAGAACAGTACGGCCTGTCGAATTAATAAGGTGATTTGTGTAATTCTAGTTTTAGTATCCCTGTGTGGTCTGTGAAAATTTTCCCCAATAGAAGGCGATATTAAGATGCCTCGGGGTAGAAGCAATAAAAGAGTGCTAAGGAAACTTAAAGGTACGTATTCTGTTTGCAGACCAATCCACCAACGTATTATTTTATTTATTCAATGAGTAATGATCATTATAACACCCAGCATTTATTGAGAACTTAGTTTACTTTCCAGCGGGGACCCTTCTGAGCACTTTACTCACATCAGTTCGCGCAGCCCCGACAACAGCCCTTTGAGGGAGGTAGTACTGGCATTCCCATTCTCACTGGGTAAATGAGAAAACCGAGGTACAAAGAAATTAAGCAACCTGCTCAGGATCTCAGGTCAGCAAGTGACAGAGGTGAGATTTGAACCCAACAGTCTGACTGTAGAATCTATTCTCTCTACCAGTGTGTAGTTGCTCATCCCAGGGTCCTCTGAGGGCAGGCACCATGCTGGACCCTGGGGATGCAATGGCAGATAAATCAGGCTTGTCCCTGCTCTCATGGAGCTTATGATGTTGGGAGGATTGGTTGTCCATGAAACATTCAGTAAATGAAATGGAAATGTGCAGTCTTGACAAGTATTACAGGAAGGAGAAGTACATGGGGGCTTTGGCTTTGTTGGGAGCCTTAGTACTTGGCATTTGCTTTGAGGTCTAACATATGAGTGGAGGTGAACCAGAGGATAAAAGAAAAAGGGGCAGAGGGAACAGAACATGCAAAGGCTTATTACAGGAAGGAACTTGGTGAGAGTATGGGATGGAAGGAAGGCTGAGGTCTCTGCAACTGGAGCAGTGAGGTAGAGCATGGCATGTAATGAGTTTGGGCAGAAAGGAGAGGTCAGGCTGAAGAAGTTTGTGGACCGTGTTAGGAAGTTTTGGGATTATCTTTAAAGCAAGTGAGAGCTTTCTGGAAGAGATGTTATGATAGAATTAATGCTTGGAAAACACTCTGGTCACAGTGTAGAAGGTAGATTGGGAGAGGACAAGAGTAGAAAGGAGAAGGGGAAGGAGGAGTCAAGGATGACGCTTTAGTTTCTAATTATGCAACTGAATGGATGATGACCCACTTATGAGTCAGGGAAGCAGGTACAGACAAGAAAATCATGGCTTTAATTTTGGACTTGTTGAGCCTGAGATATTATTGGACAGGCAAGGACAGGGTGAGCTTGTGATATGCATTCCTGGGTCATTTACCTTACGGTGATAATGGAAGCCTGGAGTAGATGACAGTCTGAGGGAGAAAGTACAGAATGACAAGAGGGAAAGGTCTAGCATAGAGCTTTGAGATGGTCTAAAACCTGAAGCCCTTACAGAAGAGGGTGAACCTACAAAGGGGACAAAATAGGCAGGAGGAAAACCAGAATGTGTATCACAAAAGGGAAGAGAATGCTTCAAGTTGAAGGAAGTGATCTGTTAACAGGCCAAGCAAGATGAGACTGAAAGCCACTTATTGTGTTGAGTCATGTGGAGGTCACTGGTAACTTTAGAGAGAGCCATCTATATGGAGTGGTGGGACCAGAAAGCAGATAGTGGAGGGAGTTGAGAATAAGTGGGTGGCAAACAGGTGAAGACACAAGTATGACAACTCCTTTGAGAATGCTGGCTGTGAAGGGCAGGAGAGAGACAGCAGTAGGTAGAGAAGAAGGATTGAGTACAGTGATTTGGTTTTGGTGTCGTTTTAATGGGAAGGCTTGAGCATGGCTAAAAGCCAGAGTCCAGTGTATGGAGGAGAGGGGAAACTGATATCCTTAGATTCTGAGAAGGGCAGAAGGGCAGTGTTCCTAATCCAGGTGGATGCAAGAGCCATTGACAGGAGGAGAAACACCACATCCGGCCTTTCGGGGGAGAATGCGGATAGCATGTATGTCTACAGAGGACGTTTTTTGTTTGGTGTCAGGAGGATGGGGAAGTTTAAATTGATGACTTGAGGATGTATCTCTAAATTATGAGATAAGAACATCTAGTGAGGGGCACCTGGGTGGCTCAGTAAGTTAAGCGTTTGTCTTCGGCTCAGGTCGTGATCCTGGGGTCCTGGGATGGAGCCCCACGTCGGGCTCCCTGCTCAGCAGGGAGTCTGCTTCTTCCTCTCCCTCTGCCCATCCCCCTGCTCATGCTCCCTCTCTTTCTCTCTCAATAAATAAATAAAATCTTTAAAAAAAAGAGCATCTAGTGAGTATGAGGTGTAAGGGAAAGCTTTGAGTTTGGTGGAGGCAGGGAGCTGAAAGAGGTTTGAAATAGCCATTGTGAACCATGAGAGAGCGAAAACTGATGGAGACCTAAGGGATTCCTGGGCAATTTGGGAGTAGGTCATCATGAACTTAGAGTTAAACCCTGTTATGTGACTTTCTCCAGTTATACTTGATTACTCACCTAAAATACGTGGTCAGCCACATTAGTTTGCTAGGGCTACTGTGACAAAGTACTGTGAACCGGGTGGCTTAAACAATAGAAATTTATTTTCTCTTAGTTCTGGAGGCTAGCAGTCCACGATCAGGGTATCAACAGGGTTGGTTCCTTCTGAGGTCTGTGAAGGAAAGATCTAGTCTAGGCGTCTCTCTTTGGCTTATAGATGACTATCTTCTCTCTGTATCTTCACATTGTCTTCCCTCTATATGTGGCTGTGTCCAAATTTCCTCTTCTTGCAAGGACACCAGTCCATATTGGATTAGGTCTACCCTAATGACTTCATTTAAGCTTAATCACCTTTGTAAATACACTATCTCCAAATACGGTTTCATTCTAGGACTTCAACATATAAATGGGCGGGGGGGGGGGGGGCACAGTTAAATCCATAATATGCACACACACTCAAGTTTCCAGCTAAGAAAATGGAAAGAAAAATTGTACCTATGTTAGTAAAGGAAAGGAAGCTGAGACAGGTAGTCAGTTAATGAGGGAAGAGAGTAAAGGAGGAAGGGAACCAACTGTATATGTTCAGGATACGATGTCCAAATGCCCTATTTGTTGACTGGCTACTGATACTGCAGATTGTGAAGAAGATAATGCAATGGAAAGTACGCCACACTTGGAATGACAGAATGTCCAAGAAAGCCCATCCTGAACATTATCGCGACATGATTTATCTTGGTCTTTGGTATTTAGTGTATGAGAAAGATGAGGGAGAGAGGCAGGCCCTGATTAACACCACCACTGTGGTCACAATTAGATTCCAATGGACCATTTTTTATCCTATGCCTCTTACATTTCCTGTTTTACTTCTCTTTTAGTATGCCTGGGATACAAATGAGGAATATCTTTTCAAAGCAATGGTGGCTTTCTCCATGAGAAAAGTTCCCAACAGAGAAACAACAGAGTAAGTAAATAGTAAAAAATTTTAATTGATTATTTGCAGTGTTATTTGAGGCATGCATTAATTAAAAAATCTATCTTGAAAATAATTAACCAAATTTTTAAAAAGGATCCACATTGTAACATTTAAAAAAACTTTTGTAATCTAGCTCACCTTGCAGTTTGTATCATGTTCCAACAATGATCTTTGTTCAATAGGTACTATGATGATAAAAATTTTTAGATGTAGTCATGTGTCATAAGCTTGTTCTACATTCCTATTGTATACATATAGTTTCTCCTACAGGTAGGTAGGTATGTAGGTAGGTAGGTAGGTAGGTAGGTAGGTAGAAAGAAAGAAAGAAAAAGAAAGAAAGAGAGAAAGAAAGAAAGAAAGAAAGAAAGAAAGAAAGAAAGAAAGAAAGAAAGAAAGAAAGAAAAGAAAAAAGAAAAAAGAATTCTGCTCTCATTGTATAAGTTTGCTAGGGCTGCAGTAACAAAATAACACACGCTGGGTGGCTTAAATAGCAGACACCTATTTCTCACAGTTCTGGAGGCTGCGAGGCCAAGATCAAGGTGCTGGCAAGGTAGGTTTCATTCTGAGGCTTTTTCTCTTGCCTTGCAGATACCACGAGAACTATGTTCTCACATGACCTCTTCTTTCTTGAGGGGGCATGGAGGAAAGAGAGAGAGCAAGCTTTTTGGTGTCTCTTCTAATGAGGACACTAATCCCATCAGGGCTCTACCCTTATGATGACATTTAACTGTAATTATCTCCTCATTGGCCCTATCTCCAAATACAGTCACATGACGGGGAGGGGTTAGGGAGGTCTTCAGCATAGGAATTTGGGGGAAGGGGAGCAAATCAGTCCACAGCACTCATTTTGGAAATATACGTATATAGGTTCATCCCACTGTTGGCGTCTCTCATAGCACCGTGGTTATTTTCTTAGAAGCTTTGGTACAACTTTTCACAGTTTTATACTTTTTTCTATTCTCCCAGAGAAATCATCTCTATTTGTAATGTATCCTTCTATCTCTATTTGTGATTCTGGTGCCACTCCTGGTTTCTGTCTCTTCCCTCCCTCCTTCTTCCCCTTGAGAGGAGAAATGACTGACCTGATTGGTGAGCTGGAAGGAGAAGCTCTCTGTGGGTTCCCTTCTCTTCAGGAGCTGGCCTGCCCTCAGACAGCAGGCATTTTTCTCTGCTACTCTCTACACTGAGTACAGAATCAGGCCCTGCATGGGCAGGCCCTTACAACTGTACGGCTGGACATGCTATTTACAGATGAGGACTGGTTCTGTTGGTAGGTGCCATAGCATATAGGGTGTAAGTATCTTGCATATTACTCCAGCATGTGCGGTAGATGCCCCAGTTCAGCTCTACCTGGGACACTATCAATGAATTGATTTCCTTTCAGGATTTTTGTAATTAGGAAGAAAACTTACCTGCTGATTAATGTTGTATCTTCCTACCTGGCCTTTTATTTTGGTGTCCTATCTGCTCATTCTTTTGTCTTAATTCTGTAGGGAATCAGAACCTGACAAAGAGGATCACTATTTATTGACCTCCCTCAGACCCACAATATATGATGCATGGGCTGTGAATATAAAGAATGAAACAGAAGAGTGGCATTTGGGGAAGCAAAATAAACATAGGATATATGGTGTATGTGTGTGTGTGTGTACACACATATATATATATTTAAAAATAGGTAATATATTCACATGATTCAAAAAATTAAAAGAAGGAGGTACATAGTAAAACAAAATTATATCCAAAGTGAACTCTATTCCTGTTTTACAGAGTTTTAGAAAAAAATATACTTGTGCTTATCATATGCCTTACGCTGCACATTCTTTCCACAACTATTTATTATAACTTTTCTCAAAAAAATTCGGTGATTGCTTTGCAAAAAATTGAAAAGGAAATATATAAGAAAAAAGCCCCCTTGTCATCTTACAATACAACCCCCTACCCACTCTTTATCTTCTACTCTTCTTGTCCCAGATTTTACACATGGCAGTGTTCATCGTACTATTTCTTCCTCTGGGTGCCTGCATTAAACCTTGTAAATGACTATGTTAAATCGGATGTTTCTATTCTTAGGAAAAGTTAATTTAAATATGTAACATTTTAGATGAATTTTGAGGAATTCATGTTTGAGGTTTTTTTTAACTTGAGGCATTGTATAAGTCTGTGAATATCTGATCTTGTTTACTTGCAGACATGTTTCACTTGCACAAGATATAGAGAAGGCTTTGTTGCCAATGCCTGTTGAAAAAGTCAGAAAGTGCAAAACTCCATCAAGGGTCAACAGACGTTTCTGTAAAGCCACAGGCAGTACGAGTACCAGCAGTACTGCCGTCAGGGCTGAGTGATGAGGGCTGCCTCATGAATCGGCATGTGTTTAGGATGCAATTGAATTGCTGAGCCCCATTCTCCATACGCTGCCATAAAGAAGGCTGCATCCTTACATGAACAGGCTTCCCCCGTGGGAAAGGGCACCACAGAATGCAAGATGGGATTGAAAACGACTTTGCAGAGAGGCTGCCGCTCTCCAGCAGGTGGGTGGATGGAAGACGCCGGGGGCTTGGCAGCTGGCTCCGGTCTTAACTCTTCTGCCTTAGAAGGGCCTTCTGGTGCCAGTGAGGGACAAAATAAATTCTGCATGGTAGCGGCTGTGGGATGGATCACATCCCCTCAAGATGCGTATGTTCAAGTCCTAAGCCCTAGTAGCTCAGCACGTGATTGAATTTGGAGATAGGGTCCTTTAAGAGGTAATGAATGTACGATGAGGTCATAGAGGTGGGCTATCACCCAATAGGAATGGTGTCCTTACAAGAAGAAGAGATGAGGACACAGATGTGCACAGAGGAAAGCCCAGGTAAGACAGGAGACGACAGCCATCCACAAGCCAAAGAAAGAAGCCTCAGAAGAAATCAACCCTGACCACACCCTGATCTTGGGCTTCTAGCCACCGGAAATGTGAGAAAATAAATCTCCGTTGTTTAAGCCACCTGGTCTGTAGAGTTTGTTACAGCAGCCCTAGCGGACTAACCCAGCGGCAAGTATCCATTTCCAGGACGGCTTCAGGGATCCAGATCTGGAACATCACTGTTTATTTCCGTCTTTCTCCTCATGGCTGATTTTACGGCTATTGCCGAAAACGTGAAGATCCTGAGACGTACAGAATTGAAAAATGTAAAAAGGAACTCACTAAGGATAATCAAGTCATAATCAGAATAATGAAGACTCTCGTTTTCATTCCACCTTCTACCCCGTCCTTACTACCATCTCTCGTACATCGGGCTTGACCGCCTCCAGTGATACAGAGCTCAGGATCTCCTGACGATGCTTTTGCATACTTGGCAACCTTCGGTTGGCAGATCCTTGATCCAGTACAACCTTGACTGGCTATGCAGGAGGATGTTGATCCTAGTGAGAGGTCCTGGCTGCATCCACACAGGACCGATGGGGCAGCTGAACTGGTCCAGTCACCCTCACCTAGCAGGCAGTGGGAGAGACAGCTAGAGGGTCAGAGACGCAAGGGGTGTGGGCCCGCAGAGAGGACTGTGGCATTTCCACTCCCTTCCCCATAGGACAGGACCGGGTGGGAACGAGGTCCAGCCCGTCTGCACACGCAGCCAGGCGGGGTGCTGACAACTGGGCCCATTCGGATGAGTTGCTGCCCACGCCACATTAGCGATTATGTGCTTTGAGTGATACCTTTGCTTGCGTCCCCATCTACCTCAAGTCAGGCCCGAGAACTGCTCACAGAGCGTGGAGTTGTCCATAGAGGAGAGACTGGCCTATTATTTCCTGGTCGGATGCTCCCCAACATGCACAATGGTGAAGCCAATCACCATGGAACAGAAACTGGGGCCTGCCTTGTAGCCGGAGAAGTCTAAAGGTGGAAGGCTGATTCAAGCTCCAGTGATTGGGTGAGAGAGGACAGCTTTGCAAGCAGCCTGCCCTCCAGTGTATCCTTGGGACCAAGCGGAGGCTGCTGGAGGGAGGTGGATGGAGTCCCTGCCTTTGGGGCTGAGAACCACCTGCAGGGCCAAGAGGAGGCAGGGGAGTGAAGCTGGAAGTGCCCCACTGGAGGCCGAGTAGAGGGTAGGATGGAGGATGTTGGTCAGAGCGCATCGCCCACGTCAGGGAGGATGCAGTGCAGAGGTGCCCAGACAGGTCTGCAGAGGCCCCACAAGACAGTCTGCATGGAGAACCTGAGGACGCCCACCACAGCGGAGCAGAGGACCCCGGACGGTGGAACAGCCTGGGGGATCCACAGAGAACCCTGGCTTAGGAAAGAGAACTTGGCTGTTTCCTTCTTTAGATGCCCACAGCCCTCTCCCATCTTCCTTTCCATCCCTAAAGGAGCGAGAATGAAGTGGGGAGGGGGGACGGAAGGGGAGACATGGAGCGGGGAGTGTGCACGGAGAGTACGTCAGTGGAGAGTACATCCCTGCTGGAGGGAGAGCAGCTGTGTGTCAGAGGCAGGAAGACAGTTTTGATCCGAGTTTTGATTCGACTGCCCTGAACTCTTTCATAAGTACAAGTGACTGGAAAGCTACACCATTTGCTTGAGACGCTGTCAAGGACTGAAGCAGAAAGAACTGATAGAGCAGCCCAAGGCAAAGGTGTGAGAAACAGAAACCTCTTTGTGCATTGCGGTCTCCTGAGGCCAGCCTGTTGACCTGCATGGCTACGGCTCAATCCATAGCATTGAAGAACCTCTACTGAAGCCTCCTGCGTGCTCGGCCCTGAGATTAGGATGATGGATAAAACCAGGTCTCACAGGGCATAGCGCCCACACCGAGGAGGCTGGGCCTGGGAGAAATGATAGGAAGGTAGACTAAATGTGACCAAAACAAGACAATTCTTTTGAAGGCCTTACTCAAATCCTGATATCAAGTGGTTTTCTTGGTACTTCCTGGATTTCCTTAAAAGCAGAATGGAAGATGTATGGAAAAAGTTTCAATGGTAGAAAATTCTGGTTTCATCAGGTCAGGTTATGTGAA